TTTGGATCAGTAAAAATAAAAGGTCTAGCTCGAGGGCTTTGCTGGTGGCCAAATATAAGTAACAATATAGAAAAAATTGCAAAAGACTGCTTACAATGACAAAAATACAAAAATTATCAGGTCAAAACAGATATACATGTTTGGGAACCAGCAAAACCACTTTTTGATCGTGTCTACATAGATTTGGCTGGACCATTTCTTCAAAAATATTTTTTTCATTTTAGTAAATGCGCTTTCGAAGTGGCCAGAAGTGTATATCGTAAACGATATGTTAAGTGAATCGACGATTATTGTTTGTATAGAAATTTTTTGACGATTTGGAATTCCTAAGATTTTAGTATATGATAATGGTATGACTTTCACTTCCACAACGTTCCAAGAATTTCTTAAGACCAATGGTATTGTACATAAAATAATAGCTCCATTTCACCCAGCAACAAACGGTCAAGCCAAAAGATACGTGCAAACGATAAAATTAGCACTAGGAAAATTACAGCCTAAAGAAAATCTTAAGTTAGATATGCAATCGATTTCATCACAATATCGTCAAATGCAATTACAGGGGCTCCACCAACAGAATTAATGTTCAGTAGAAAAATAAGACGTAGATTAGGTTTAATTAAACCAAGTGAAATTACAAAAGCAGCGGAATTTAATGACAATAAAAAATATAGAGGAATTCAAGTACGAGATATCGTGGCGGCAAGAAAGTATGGACAAAAAGAAAAATGGATTTCTGGTAAAATAGTGCATCGAACAGATAAATTACATTATGAAATTAAATTACATGACGTTAGAGTCTAGTTGCAACACATAAATCAATTGCAACGTATTAGAAATGTACAAGAGAAAGAAATTTTTTCAGAATTTTTTGTTCCAGAGGAAAAGATGGCAATGACGCGTAAAGAACCAAAAGCAATGACGAATAATCCTAAAACTTCAAGATCTTCAGAGTCAACCTTGTTTATAGACAGTAGTGTCTCTACAGAGTCAGGAAAAGACAGTAGTCCATATGTTAGACGAGCCAGAGAGGACAGGGAAAAAGACTAAAAAAAGAAATGCCGCAACAAAATAATGATGCTTCCACGACTAACGAAGAATTTCATACAGCAAGATCAATTCACGTAAATTCGGTAAGAAAACGGCAAATTCAAACACTTTTAAAAGATTACATTACACATTAAACACTATCTGATACGAAGGTAGGCATTCTTCGTCGGGAGAAGTGTTAGGTGAGAGTCGATGCTTACACGCACATAAGCGAACGCAAAGATTATGTGTGTGCAGGTTTATGAACGTAGGGCATAGAAGTGTGAACGGGTAGCAAGTGCGAGAATGTAAGGCGAGCGAGCAGTGAGCAGTCCGCGTGTAACTGCAAACCAGTGCACATATAAAGTTAGGAGCATTGAATAAATGTATTATTAAGTCACATCCTCAGTGTACACCTTATTCAATTCCTAAATACAAATACACAACAACAAGATTAATACCAACACAACTGATAAAAGTGGCAATGACGCTATAATGTGTAGGTTAAGGGGGCTCCTTCACGAAAGTCCTCAAACAGAGGTATATTATTTCTTGTAAATAAAAGTCTACTGAATTTAATGGTGGTCTAAATTACATTTCGAATGGGTCAAAATTTTGAGAAATCCGAGCTCAAAGTTGTAACTATTAGCACGTGTTACTATGGGGCAGCGTGAAAAACAATTTGTTTTCGTTTATAATAAACCTAAATTAAATGTCCCAGCAGACTGAATATATGCGTTTTGTAGATGAAGTCTTCCTGTGTAATATGCTGTATTAAAAATTGTGGATGATGGACCATTTTAGCGAGATATTTGTGATGGAAACAAATAAATAGTGTCCGGGAGGTCACAAGGAGGTCACGTGGGTAGCAGACGTACTTTTTCACGACACATATCTACCATATACCTATATATTACATCGCTATACTACACCAACACAGGTGGTGTCTGTGGTGTACCACTGTACCCTCGTATGCACTAGACTAGTCAAAACAATAATTAATTTTTCGTACAAAGTTAAACTTTTCCCACTTCATACGTTATTAAAAATATCATAATGATTTTCAGACACATTTGTTTATTGAAAAACAAAACTTTATTTTTTGTTTGTCTTTGACCTCAGCAGTAGTCGTAGGAGCCCCCTTAATTGCGTAATATAGTATTTTTGAGCACAATTAAAATAGATGTACTACTGCGGAAGAAGTTAAATGATCAGTATTTACTACTTGTGAATTTAAGAAACTACTCATTATAATATGTATCAATAGACAATATTATAGCAGAGTGCAGAAAGTACACCAAAACTGTCTAAATTATTTTAATTTTAATATTTCATCAGCGACAAATTACAGAAAAATAAATATATCTAAAATTTTATTAAAACAGTGATGGTTTTCACGAAACAGAATCCACACAATTTATAATATTAAACTTTCTACTTCTTCATGATTTACTTAATTACTTGGTTGGCATTCTTATTCTTTAACTACAAGTTATGGCCAACAATTACAAGACAATCTTTAAAATGGTTACATTATAGTTACATAAGAAACCATTTTAAAGGCTACCTTGTAATTTGTAGTTATAACTTTTCTTACGACATATTCATACTCATACATGTCAGAAGTGTTATCTTTTAACAGTATCTCTATTAATTTGAAAGTCAGGACAGATAATGGTAAACAAGTTACAAGTACATTAAGACATTTCTGTGTGATCTAGTCCATCTACACGTATACGTAAACCATTGCTAAAGCCACAACATGAAACATATGCCATATATTACTATATCCATCCCGAACGAGAAATTTATATGTATTTTTAAACATAATTTTATGAATATAATTAATATAATTATGCAAAAACTTATACAAGAACTTCTGTATAAAGCTATATCCAAATTCATGCATAAAATGAGCTCCTATTCATGCATAAGCTTATGGATATTTTTAATTATTAATTCATACATAAAATTAAAACACAATCTATTTATTTAACCACCCTGATAAATACCTTTTGTGAATACTGTAAATGGTACTCACGACAAAAACATCAAATTGAGTGATATCCCACTTGAAAAAAGATGTAAGACGAAATTCTATGTGTCATTGTTTCTATAAGAACGTTGGGAAAGCCATATGACGTGACATATGATTTCATCTTTGGCATTACATATAGAGTTTTAAATTGGTAATTCTATATGTGATTCCATGTGGAAAAACAATCGGTTGAATAGTGCCATGAAATTTCCTCGAACGTTTTGGGTGTAAGACAAGTGTCAGTGAAGATTTTTCAGAAACTGCTTACTTATGACCAAATGAACCATCGCATGAGTATCGCTCATGAGCTATTGAGAGACATCATTGATGATCCTGATTTGTTGACAAGGGTCATAACTGGTAACAAATTATGAGTACATGGTTATGATATCAATATTAAAATCTCAATCGTCCCAACAGAAAAGCCTAGGTGAGCCAAGACCAAATCACAGGTGTAGGTCTCGTCACCCCCGGCAGAAGCAAAACTTCCAACTCGTATGTTATTCAACTCGGTGTAACAGAAACTGAGAAAATTATAGTATACCTAATTTCAATTGGTCTTTAAGAATGAGTTATTAAAATAGTTAAATTTTTAGTATTATTACGTATTCGAGCACGCGCGCGAAAATACAATGTATACTTTAATATACTACTTGTGTTATACGCAATTCGCGCATTTTGATTACTTCCATATTTGCTATAGTATATGTATAAATACATGTACAAATTGTTAGTCATGTAATATAGAACGAAACAAAAAATCTTACCACACTATACCGAAAGAAGGTACTTTTATCTCATTACGAAAATTTCGTCCATTGGTGCAGCATTGGTAAAAAATAGTATCCACCCTACAGAATTAAGTAAAAAAGCCTGAGATCTCACGTTAATTATCACCCTAAGCTTCGCATAAGATCCGAGACTTACTTTACTTTCGCATCCTACATGTGGGTATTGTTCTTTTCGTGCATTTTACATGATATCAAATATGTGTACAATCAATTATTTATTACTGGAATCTTTGTATCAGACGAGTTATATTTTTTTTTAATTTTGGCTACTTTAAAAGTAAAGAAATCCACTCTATCTGATTGAGATTGAGGAAAATAATAGACACAGCTGTTTTTCGTTGTGAAGTTGTAATTTTTTATTTAATTCGTTATATAAATATTTATATTTTAATTTTGAAATTCACTCGTGCCTTATTTCTACTAATATCAAAATTGATAACAAGAATGTAGGTTTTGGTCATGTGAAAATTATTCTTATACCACATGGTAGAGAACATTAAATCAATTAAATTATAGGTAGGAAAGGTAGGATGTAGCTTTTCTTTTAAGATACCACTTTTATTATTTTTAGAATTATAACGATCATTTATACGAATCCGTGTATCACATATTTTTACACCTTAATAATCATTTTCTATTAGTGAAATTATTTATGGCCTATCTGGTTTACCTTTCAAGATACCAGTATTTGTCTAATTTTGTCTAATTTGTCTAAAGTTGTATTGTAATAAAAATTTCTCCAAGACTTTGAAAAAGGTCCACATTGATTTATCGAACACGCCATTCGAAATACATTTATTTTATTTAATAGTTCTTTTCAAGATACAGTCAAAAAACAAGAAAATTAACTCCAATCTCTCTCTATTTGTGTGCCTTAATCATGTAGTTTCCCTAAAGAACCCATCAAAATTGTTGTTTTGAGCCAATTTTTCTTCCCTTTTTGTGATACAGAGTTTTTTTTTGTTTTCAAAGGTTATTGGATCGTTAAATTATACGCATATAATACTTTATGCACGTTTATTCACGTACACCAAACGGAAAGATATTCTTGGACAGTGATCAGCTATTTCACATTTCCGTGTTTCTACACATTGGCATTGACGCTTAACGCGCAAAATCAGTGGTTGGGTCTGACCAAGAATATCTTTTCGCTGAGTGTACATACATGCATATAAAAGGATAGCTAGTGAGTGAAAACGACTTTTATTATGTTTTTTTGAAGACTTTGAAGAGACCAAGCGATGTTTTGTGTCAGGCATTATTTACCTGGTAGTACCTTAGCTATAACAGAGGACCAGCTTAGCCCTTATTACAGCCACGTTACGATTTCCACCATGCAGTAGTAGGTATAGAGAGAGGCTATATTATACAAATATATGTATATATATACATAGTTTTACCTGTGCTATTGATCTTCGAGGATCGATTAACTGTGTCTTTTACGCTTCGTCAACGTGATCATAGAGTGATTAAGTTGGTCTTGGTATTTATACTTGTCTATAAGTATGAACATCTGATCATAACTCAGGTTTGCACCAATAGCTAATTAATACTATTTTTGTGTAAAAGAATGCCATGTCTGAGCCCAAGGTGATGATGAATAAAAATATATATATGTAGTAACTGCGGCTTGACGAACCATTGTGCGCATGCGAGAGAGAAAAAGGGAGACGGACAAACAGATCTTTTGCTTTGCAGTCAGTGGTGGCTGGTACGGAGATAATATCTACAGATATATACACGCCAGCGTTGGCTCGCTCGCTTATTTAACGGGTAAGCTCTCTATACAAGATGTGCCTAAAGAAGTTTTTTTCAAAAAGCATGCCAAGTTCGATTAAATGTCAAAGTTTTGCTCACTGTTTTCTTCGATTACCGTGGCGTTATGCATCAGGAGTTTTTAACGACCAATAACAAGTATTATCTTGATGTTATGTGTCACTTGCGAGAAGTAATACGAAGAAAACATCCGAAAGTGTGGAAATACAATTCATGGCTTTTGCATTAAGGTAATATCTCTAGGTTCATGTTTCCTTATTAACATTATTTATTTCATTAAAATAGTTTTTTCTTTTTATAGTACAGTCTAAAGATCTTATATTTTTAAAGATTAATATTTTTTCTCATTTTCAGAGCATCGCTATAAGTTTAATTATTTAGGATGAGGTGCTCCCATCATGCAGGATAGTAAACAAGACCCTCAAGCGCTCTTGGTCACTGGAAATTAGACGATCTCTGTATTTAATTAATAACTGAAATTTTTTAGCACTCTCAGGTGATTAAAATTCGGTGCTTGCTTTATTTAATAATTAAAGAAAATCTTCAAGCTATCAAGGTTACTTAGAATTAGCCACTTGCTTTATTAAATTAAAAAATGAAATCCCTGAGCGATCTGTAAATTTGATTTGTTATTTAATTATGTTATAATAAACATGAATCAGTTTTTTGGTACAGGAAGTTTATAATGATTTTTTTACTTCTAAATAAACTGGCTCTTTAAGTTAAAAAAACGTTTCTATCATTTATTTACATACGTATACAGCGGATAATATGACACTGTTTCCACACCACCTTGTGGTAAGTATTGCCATGCATTTAAAAAAAAAAAAAAATTAAACTCCCTCGACAATACTTGAATAAAAAAAACTAGATAATGTGACTAGAATTGAGTTAACTTGATTAGAAATTATGCTTGGCACTACTAAAATAGCTATTTTTTCTGTGTCGTGTTTGTTATTTTAGATAGTTCATTTATTCATTTTTATTGGTCCTATTAATGCGTTTAGTGAATACAGAAGTAAGCAAGTAGTCACATCTTGCAAGAAATCTCTGAGTGGTGTATTTTGACCACTATACATGGGTATGTGTAAGGCAGCTTGATTGATACGTAAAGCCGAATTATTTAGGGCTACGTTACATGATAACTCAAAGAATTCAAGTGATTTGTCGGCTTTCCTCGCCTCATGGTATTGTTCGAGTAACTGTACCTTTGTAGCTGCATCTACTACTTTGCTTATATCCTCAAGTGTCTGATCTATTACGAAAAAATTTTTGAAAATAGATGAAGGAAGACAATAAGAAAATTTAGAGAAAGAAATAAAGTGGTAAGAAAAAAATAAAAAAAAAAAAAACTTTGATTTGGTTAAAGCGTACTCTAAGTAAAACAAAAGCCTTAGTTTCCCAAGGGATGCCAAATTGTTACGTTTGAACTTCTATAAGTGAAGGGCGGAACTCGTAGATTCGTTCTACAAACAAATAAATTTAATTTGTGTTTGTCAGGAATCACCCGTCGGCCTAAAGGCTTTATTTGCTTTTTCATCATCCCTGATAGTAAAGTTTGTTGTTTACGTCCACATAGTAAGACGTAAAGCGACAAATGTGCAGCTGCTGGATTTCTTTACGTCCACTGAGCAGGGCGCTTCTACGAGGTCCATGCTCTTAAATACACACTGATTATCTATCTATATGTGAGATTTATGCCGAATATTTGCATCTGTATATATGTAGTGGCCAAGTGTTGTGTTGTAGTTGTATTTTTTTTTTTTTTTGACGGCCAGACGCATATGCGTGTGCACATTATCTTTTCACCTCTTCAGTGCCTTCTGCTATCCGCCTTTGTCATTGTGTCAAGTCAGTTCGTGCCTACATAAAATATTGGGATCCCAACACGTCACGTGACTTTCGCGATATACATAGCCGAGTCGGGGTAAATTAACATAGGCCTTACGAGGGAAAACCTGTTTTTATTTTTTTTACGCTTGAAACGATTATAATCCTATAAAATCTGGCAAATAACATGTTTTTAAGGGACAAATAGTACTGTAACTAATTTTTTTCCTAACCCAATCGTTACATGAAGCTTAAAACCTTACTTTGAAAGTGAGAAACGCACATTTAACCTGTACAAAAAGTCATGTTTATACACATGTATGTAAGCAGCAGCGGGAGGGATTTGTACAAGTCGGCGGTCCTTTCTTTCTTGTTCCTCCTTGATTCACTTTTTCGGCGAGTCTACAGTGGTCTGGTTTGCTCGAGCTTTTCTCACACAGTTTAGTAACCGAACTAAGTCTTACATTTGCTTGAAATGCACGCTTCTAACACGTAGCTTAATCACCGAACTAAGTCTTACATCTGCTTAAAAGACACAACAGAACTCACTCTCCAACCTCCATAGTTACTTTAGAGCACTCGATGAAAGAGAAAAGACAAAAGTTGCTATATGCAAGAAGTTTTTATACTCTTACGTTTAAGGAGGACATTTCAAGTTGGAGATCTGAACAACAAATTAAAGCTTAACCTAATTACCCTCAACTGACACGAGCACAGTCGTGGTGCAATAGTTTTACAGTAATTAATGGTTAAAACTAATGATCTCTCGGATCTTACATTAAGGGGGCTCCTACGACTACTGCTAAGGTCAAAGACAAACAAAAAATAAAGTTTTGTTTTTCAATAAACAAATGTGTCTGAAAATCATTATATTCTTAAAAACGTAGGAAGTGGAAAAAATGATATTTATGTGTGTAGTTTAACTTTGTACAAAAAATAAATTATTGTTTTGACCAGTCTAGTGCATACGAGGGTACAGTGGTACACCAGCTGTGTTGGTGTGGTATAGCGATGTAATATATAGGTATATAGTATATATAATAAAATTATGTCGTGTTTGCATGCCTTTCTGCTATTACTCTACCTCTATAGTGTTTAGTATCCGTATGTCATTAACATCATTTAATTGATTAACAATGGATGACGGTCCTTCTAATCCATCTAAAAAAAAAGAATACCACGCACATAGAGTCTTAAGAGGATGGAGGAAAGGCAAGTTCATGAAAAAAAAGTATGTAACAAAATATAGGAAAAAAAGGCACTCAAGAGGTTATACCAGGTAGTCATTGCAAATATATGTTTTCCAGGATTGTTAAAATAATGTATAAAAATGTTTAGAAGCGTTAAAATATACGAAAAGTTTATATTTATTTAATTCCATACTCCTTATTCGATAAAAATAATGCTAGGTACATACAAACTTCAAGCTATACGAATTTCAACTTTTTGAAAACTCGCGCGATTAGGTGAACAAGTACGTCTGCTACCCACGTGACCTCCTGACCTCCCGGACACTATTTATTTATTTCCATTACAAATATCTCGCTAAAATGGTCCTTTATTCACAATTTTTAATACAGCATATTACAGAGGAAGACTTCATCTACAAAACGTATATATTCAGTCTGCTGGGACATTTAATTTAGGTTTATTATAAACGAAAACAAATTGTTTTTCACGCTGCCCCATAGGAACACGTGCTAATAGTTACAACTTTGAGCTCGGATTTCTCAGAATTTTGACCCATTCGAAATATAATTTAGACCACCATTAAATTCAGTAGACTTTTATTCACAAGAAATAATATATCTCTGTTTGGGGACTTTCGTGAAGGAGCCCCCTTAAGTACAAGTTGCTGTCGAAATTTTGTATGATATTTCTTGTGTTCATACGCAGTAAAGAATGTTTAAACTGTTAATTAATCACATTCTTTGGTGTACTCGTACGAATTGATTTTGTAAGATTAGCGTTTTATAAGACTGTTTGAGGTTGTATACACATAGTTTTGCGACGGTAGCTTGTTTCAAAAGAAGTAAGTTACATGTCACGCGATTGCAGAAGCAGGTATGCCGATTGATACTTCGAGATCGCTGAGCTTTTGCTTTTTATAATTTAAAAATGCAACTGTATGTGTCGAAATAATAGATATTAAGTATATGACATGGGTTGTCACATTTATATTAAACTAAAAAAACAGTCTGCTGGATTCTCACCACCAATGCGTGCTTACCCAAGAATTAATTTTATTATCGTACAAAAGTAAAGAATGGTTTTAATGTAAAAATATTCTTATGAAAGACAGTTCAAGATATAAAATTCAAACCAAGTAAATAAGAAATTGTCACAACTAATATACAATGATTATAGAACCTAACATGTTTATTTGACAACAGTTTTAGATTGAATGCGATGTTTTTATAATTACATTAATATTATTATGTATAACACACAATTCTAAAACATGCATCTAACCCATTTAATTGACTAAAGGTAGTAAAAAAAATTTTGTTTTAATATTGATCATTCAATTACTTTTTCTGATTATTTATTCGTTGACTGGATTGTTTTATTGAATTTGACGTTGTTTTCTAAAGTTTCAGAGTAATTGTTTTTATTTTTCAGTTTTTCAATATTTAATTGCGAGTACTTAAAACTCTAGCAAAAAATATACTCTTGTTCAAAAATAGATTTTTTTATATTTGTANGAAGTATCATTTAAATACTTATATATGACGGTGAAGAAGTGCAAATTACTATAAAGTTTGAAAAGAAAAAATAAAAAGTTGTTGTTTAAAATTATTATTCTTAAACATTCTTTAATTTATTTACATTTTAAGATTTTTTTTTCTAACTATTTTATTTCAAGACAATTTAATATTATGTATGGGTACGTTCATCGGTATTATTTAAGATTAGACGCTCTCGAGATGAGACAATTTTCAAATTTGTATTTGAGATGGGATATTTTCAAAGTTCAGTTTTGCGACGAAACGTTTTCTTACCTAGCTGACGAATCATCATGATTATTATTATTATCGTTGTTCTAAAAAAAAGTTTGAAAAAATGAAATAATTACTTTTGATAAATGTATTTACGATTAATTATTTTTAAACTTTATTGATCTGATGGTAAATAAAATAAAAACCAAACATATTTCTACTGTTACTACCTGCATACTGGACTGCTACGTGTATGTGCATAATATTTTTTAACATAATTCTTAGTCAAAATTAATAGATTATGATGTATTATTATTCTAGTATACACATTATTTAATGTAAGTAATAAAAAGAGCGGCGTTAGCTCAGTGGTAAACGTGCTTGTTACTAATACAACGCAATTCTAGGGGTCGTGGGTTCGATTTCCGGTGAATGCAGATTTTTTTAAAAACTGTTTTCATCGGGAAAAGTTCCTGTATAACTCCGACTGTTTCAGGGCGGGTTTTTCCGTGGAATTTTCCCTCAGAGTAATTCCAGGGTTTTTCCCTGCCCCACAGGTTTTCAGGCCTGGGTGAATGCGAAACAGTGTTAGGGCTATTGGGTTATAGGGCAGGGATCACCGGCCTTACCGACGAGGAGTGGTCCCTGAAACACGGGGCTTCTCCGGGGATGCTAATGAGCCTGGATCCGATACTTCGGTAGAGAGCGCCAGCTTAACCGGCAAGAAGTGAACGTCCTGAAATAATGGAGTCTTCTCCGGGGAAAGGCTACACAGTGTCGAGTGGACCCGATGCACCATTGGTGTAAAAAGTGCCAGCTTAACTGGCAAGGTGTGTCCCACCGGAGATACTCACACTATGCCAAGGGATTAAGGTAGGATATGAGGAAAAAGGTTTGGA